ATTAAATATATATTAAGTAATTAATAGGTATTTACTATAGTTAACCTATACTTTATAGTTAATAAAGAAGTTATATAGACCTATTAAGACTTTTAGGTTAATAGTCTTAAAGTTACTAATAAGCTAGTTAGTAAGGTCTTCTTATATATAGTAAAGTAATTTACTACTAAGGTAGTTATTATACTTAGATTTACTAAAGTAAAATATAATAATAGTATTAAGCGTAAAAGACTATTACTTCTTTATAAGGTTAGTTAATAACCTTATAATATAATCTTTCCCCTATTAGTATAGAAGAATAGACTATATAAAGGTAAAATATATAGTAATAATATTATTTATTACTACTATTTTCTCTACTATATTAGGTAGTATATTATATTTATTATAAAGCTCTTTTTTTTATTACTTTATAAGTAAAGGCGTAGTAACCTATAGGCCTTACTTACTTATAAGCTTATTTTATTTACTTATATTAGCTTAGGTCTTCTACTTATAGGCGTAGTATTATTTACTATTATCCTTTATTAGCCTAATAACCTCTTAAATATAGGTGTTTCTTCTAGTAGACTAAAAGGCGTATATATTTATTAGAGGGATTACTACTAGTAGTATAGACAACTAAGGAAAAATACACTCTTGTAAGTAAATAACTTAAGGAAAAACAATAAGCTATTATATTAGCTACTTATTAACACTATTAGTTAGTAAAAAGAGAAGAAATAATAGGCTATTATATTAGTAACTTATTAACGCTATTAGTTAGTAAAAGAAGTATATATATAAAAAAAAGAAGTTAGTAAGCTAAAGAGCTTATAATAAATAGGATATAGTAAATAATTACTAGTTAGCTATAGGTATATAAAGTAAAGGGTTTTTTATAGTTAAAAGTGCTTCTCTAAAGGTAATAAAGCTTATATAATAGACATAAATTAATAAGGTTTCTACTAGTTAAAAGGACTAGTTATAGATCTATTAATTAACCTATTATAATAGGTAATTAGTATAAACTATTATAGTAAAGGTATTTATAGAGGTATTTTTTAGTACTTGCCTACTCTAGGCGTATAAATAATTAACTAGTAATAATTACCTCTTCTTATAGACCTTACTAATCTATAGTTTAGACAGTAAAGTTAACCTTTATAGTTAATAGTAAAGTTAACTACTAATTAGTATTAGTTACACTAAAAGATAAGTAAATATAGTTAACTATATATATTAGTAGTAATTAATAAATAATAAGGGTAACTATAGTTCTCTATTATATATAAAGAAAAGAAGGATAATTATTATAGGTTAGTTAGTTAAATAACTAACTTATTGCCTATAAATCCTTAGAGAATCTATAGCTAAATATCTAAGGATTTACTAGCAATAAGTCATTAGGGTTAACCTAATAACTCTAATATTTATCTATAATAGTTAATATTACAACAGTTAGTTAGTACTAAGTAGACTTTAATAATTAATACTAAGTTAACTATACCTACTATAGCTAAAGGTATAACTAGTAGTTTAGTAATAACTATAGTAGTAATAACTATTATAGTAATAATAATAGTAACTATAATACTAAGAAGTATTATATTTACTATAAGCCTAGTTATTAGTTAATAAAATACTTTACTAATAAATAATATAATATATATTAATAATTTAAAAATAACTACTAGGTAAAAGACTTTTTACTAACTATATATTAAACCTTTTTTACTAGCTATAAAGGTAGTTATCTATAAGAAGAAGAAGGTAATAAAGATAATAATAAGGACTTTAGTTACTACCTATAAGGTAACTATACTCTTAAAGTAGTAAAAATAAACTAAAAGTAATACCTTTTATACTTTTATAATATTCTTTACTAGTACTACCTTAAGTAGTAATAAGCTTACCTTTAACTTAGCTAACTAAGTAGTCTATTACTAGTTAATAAAGGATAATCTTAATATAGTATTATTAGATCTAGTTACCTCTTTTATACTAGATTATTACTTATTAAGTATCTTTTAAGGTATTTTACTAGACATAAGTATAGTAACCTTTTTACTACTAGTTACTTATAAGTAACTATATTATAATAAATCTAACTATTAGTAACTATTAATATAGCTACTACTAGCTAAGTAAAGATCTAGTTTAGTAGTATAAACTATTTACTTAAAGAGTACTATTATAGCTAGTATACTATTTAGGCTTATTACTTTTATATAATACTTATAAATATACTTTTCTTACTTTACTTAGTAAATATAGATTAACTATTTATTTACTTTAATAACCTTATAAATACTTTTAATAAGTAATATTATAGTACTAGTTATATAAAAATAAAGTATCTATAGATACTTTTTAGCTACCTAAATATAGCCTTAGTAGTTATTACTTAACTAATATAAAGTTATAATAACTTTACTAATAATTTAGGCACTTATTAGTCTATTATCTTTATAAGGTTCTTTATAAGGCTAACTATAAGGTTAAGTTAAGGCTATTAAGTACTTAACTAAATACTACTATTACTACTAGCTTTATAAAAAGTACTTTTATAATTTAAATTTACCTTATATAATAACTATTTTTTAACTATAAGGTTATTATTAATATTATATACCTTAAAGTAACTAACTAGTCCTTTATATTATTAATACTATAACTACTTTTAATATAGTATACTTTCTTTATAATATCTCTATAAAGACTATATAAGAGGTACTTTATTACTACTAAATTAACGTCTACTAAGGACCTCTAGACTAGATTATTACTAACGTAAATAAAAACTTTACTATAACTAAATTTTTATATAAAGCCTATATAATAGGTATTAAAGTTAAGATTATCCTTATTAAGATATACTATAGTATTAGAAAGGTTAAATAATACTATATAGTACTTTAATAAGCCTATAAAATTATATATAAACAGTACTTAATTACTAACTATAATTTATCCTTTAGAGTATAGTTAAAGTAGTTAATATTACTATAGCCCTAATAGCCTTATACTAACCCTCTTAGTATTTAGTACTTACCTTTATATAACTACTAACTTTACCTTATTACCTAATATTATCTAATAAGTAACTACTATCTAAAAGGCTACTAATAACCTTTATAAATATTATATAATATACTAACTTTATAAAGTACTTAAAGTATATAATAGCCTAGATACCTCTACTATTAAGGACCTACTATTAAGTAGTAAAGTATAAGTATAATATAAGAAAAGTAAATAGTTTAGCCTATACTACTTACTATTTATTAATAGTAAAGATTATACTATTAATATTAATAGCCTATATAACTTTTATTTTATCTTAGTTAAACCTTACTATACTAAGAAAAAATAAATAAGCCTACTAATATAAATCCTTAACTTAACTAACCTATAAATACTAACTATACTAGTAAATATATAGAGAATACTATTATTATTACTATAAGAACTAGAAAACCTATCTAAATAGTAGCTTTTTCTCCTTTATAATATACCTATAGGTAACTATATAAGACCTTAGTTAATATACTACTATAGAAAATAAATAAATACACTTTAGTATCTTCTTTTTAGCTAAAGAAAAAGCTAACCTAGTACTTATATAATAACTATATAACTAAAGTATTATTACTATACCTAGTAAACCCTTTAAATAATTAAGTAAAAGTAAAATCTAAGGCCTTATTAACTATAGTATATTTAAGATTATTATATATAATCCTTTTATTTACTAACGCTATATCTTTAAATTTTACTTTATTAATAAAGTTAAAGGTAAAAATAATAAGCTATATAAGAGATTATAACTTATAAAATAAAGTTATAGTAATAATAGTAAAAAAACCTTACTAGTTTAGTTACTTATAATTTAGAAAGCTAGCTAGTATATAATTTTTATATTTACTTTTTCTTTTATTATTAATAGTAAAGTAATATAGCTATAAGATATAATATAGGCCTATATATAGTTAACTTTATAACTTAACTATACTATTTATATATAACTTTCCCTTTAGATTTATAATTATTACCTTTAAAGTACTATTATAAAGGTAGTAAAGCTACTATATAGCTTTACTAAAGTAAGTATATATTAGTAAGTAATATATAACTACTACTACTATAGAAAACTTAATATAGTTATTACTTTATATAACTTATACTTACTTCTTTTATTTATAAAAAACCTTAACTTTATAATAATTAAAATATAAATAAATAATATTATTAGCCTAACTAGTATTAATTTCTTTAACTATAAGGATAATAAGCTTACTAAAGTAAAGCTCTTTATAAAAGAGAAAATTTTACTTTTAAAGAATAAACCTTTAGTATTTAATAAAGGAATTATTTTACTAACTTTAGCTAAAAACACTTTTATTATACTTTACTAAAAAGGCTAAAGTATAAAGTTAAGACCTATTAATAAGAAATTACCTATAGCCTAGTAAGACTATATCTAGTAGTATACTTAAGGTATATATATTACTTTTATTTACTAGCCTAAAGTATACTTTAACTTATTTACTATAGTCTAGTATAAGAAGCCTAATAGTAAAGCTATTTAGTAACTTAACTAAAGAATCTAATAGTAAGTAAATTTACTTAACTATAGCTTTACCTTTATTTCTTTTAACTTACTTACTATAAAGCTTTTTATATTTATTAATAAATCTTTTACTAATAATTATAACTTAACTTTATAGTTAAGATTTATTATCTTTTTTAGTAATAAAAAGTTAATAATAAATAAAGTAAGTTTACTTTTTATAGTAATATTCTCTATTTTTTATTAACTAAACCTAAATAAGTAATATAAAGTATTCTTATATTAGAAGTCTATAGTATAATTATAGGTATTAATATAGTATATACCTTCTTTATAACTAGCGAGTGCTCTACAGGTAGCAAAGAAGGCCTGGTGACGGTCGAGATAACAAGGCCTGGAGATCTACTTTTGACGCTAACCGGAGAACCCATCTCGTATGACTGCTCTCGCTGGAACGGGTTCAGCAATTTTAACGCCTTTGTCATGAGCGCGATAGACCCTGCCTTCCGAGACGGATAACTATTCGAAGCTGGCTTGCGTCAACGGCACCGGTATGCCAAAGGTTGCAGCCCTCTGCGAGTTTACATGTTCTCTCGATTACTGCCCGCCGGGAGCTTGCGTGTGCACTGAATTCGGGAAGACGCCTACCAGGCCGAAAGCCATGGATATAAAGGGGTATCCAGTTGCCACGCTAGATGCGAGCTTCAGCGGGCTGTGTTCTTTTGCGTGCAACTACGGCTTCTGCCCACAGGACTACTGCACTACTACCGAAGTCGCGCTGCCAATCTGGCCTGAGTCGCTGTTTGACCCACCATACTGCACAGAGGGCAAATCTTTTGACCCGTCATTCGACGACCTTTGCCAGTTCACCTGTGCTCACGGCTTCTGTCCTATCGGCGTGTGCCGCTGCCTGGCAACCGGCTTCCTCAACCTATTGGAACCCAACACCACGTCTAGCGCCGGCACTCTCAAGGGTATCAATGACTACGGCCTGTGCAACTACGCTTGTACTCGGGTTTTCTGTCCTGCCCAGACCTGCTACGAAAACACGGATCCCATGGAGAATGGCTTCGGACCTTACTACGATCCTGTCACAGAGGAGTACTATGATAATACCAACCCAGGCAACGTCAACTGCGACCCATCTAAAGCACCACGGAACCTTGACGATCTAATCAAGGGAATCGATAGCAACAGCGTGCCTGCTGTCTGCTGGGACCAGTGGGCTCTAGAGATTCTCTTTGAAGCCCTTGTGAACTTTAACGACGAGTTCGCCGCATCTGCAAAAGGATATGACAATCTCTATTCCGCCTACGAGACAAGGGTCAAGGATAGCGTCGGGCAGCAGCTCGAGTCTTTCATGGCGGTCGATACTGGCGAGGGAAACCAGTACTTTGACTGTGTACTCACGCTCTCCGGCCACAAGTATGATAAGATGGGCTGCCAGTTCCTCGGCCTAAACAAGTTTGCGGACGCGGAATGGACCATTGATTACTCGCTCCGCGACGCCGATGGATTCTATGCTGCCGTGTTGGAGAAGTTGGGTATCGAGAGAGACTGGATCACTTTCGGCACCATTGATCTCGGCTGGGCATGCCGCGATGTAGGCTCCGATAGACCGGGCGCAGGCAACCGACCTTGTCTGAAACTGGAACATCAGAAGACGAATGCACCTATTTCGGTCCAAAAAGAAAAGGTAATAATCCAATGTTATTCCCCAACGTCTTTCTTGCAGCATTGCTAATGTTTGTGTCTACTTACAGATCAAGGTTCCGAACCCCAAGGAAGTCATCCGGGCTGCTATGCCCAATATGACTAATCTCGCCAACACACTGATGGTGGCGCACCTTGACTTGACGCTGCATATCAATGAGGCAGAAGGCGGTGACATTGTCGCAGCGGCAAGTGTGCCAATCTTCATGCTGCAGCAGGCTATTCGCAGCATGGACAACATCAAGTCCATCGGTGCCAAGATCTTGGAAGAGAACAAGCAGAGATTAGTCCTTGAGATCCTTAGCATTGTCCTCGTCATAATCCCCTTCATCGGCGAAGCTGGAGGAGCGCTCTTCGGTGGGGTCGCGATGATCTCCCGCATTGCCGCTCTCGTTGATGTGGCCGGGTCTGCCAGCCTCACTGCCTATGATATTGTACAAGACCCCACATCAGCGCCTTTTGCAATTTTAAGTCTACTTGTTGGAGGTTTTGGCAGCGGCGTTAGGTCTGAGAAGGAGGCCTTTAGCGAGGCAGCTAAGGCACGCAAGGGGCTATTAGCATCTGATATAGCTAAGTTTGGGGATAATTTTGTTACAAGTGACACCAAGATTCCAAAAATCGTTAATGCCTGTCTAAGGATCTAGTTAGCTTTAGGCTCCCTTACTACTATAGTTTAGTAGCAGTGTTACAGTAGCTATGTAGTAAATTACTCTAGCTATTTAACAACCCGACCCCTCAACCGAACCATCCCCACATCCGAACCACCCGAAAATGCCGCATCCATCCCCTTCCATCAACATCACCACCTTTTTCAAACTATCACAACATTATCCATTTACATACAAACAGCGCCATCTTTTTAGAACATCTTGATCAACCTATCATGAAATAATATACCAAATTTAAGCTCCAACGGGCCCTTCAAGATGTGCTGAATGGGCAGAGCATCCGGACTATTGCTCGTATATGGGGTATACCATACGCAACCCTTCGACATCGATTCCACGGCAGGCAGAGCAAAAATACTGCCTATATTCATATGCAGCATTTATACCAGGCCCAGGAGGATAAACTGGCTGCTTATATATTAACCCAAGAAGCTCTTGGCAGCCCTCTTACCCATCAACAAGTAAAAGGATTGGCAAAGCGTATGATAGGTGATAGGCAGCGACCTCTAGGGAGGAAGTAGATAGGGCAATTCCTGCGGCAAAACCCATCTATCCGAACCAAGCGATCTAGATCAATGGATGCCAAGCGATGGAGGTCCCATTCACCCGAGGTTATCCAGCAATTCCTCCAGCGACTGGATAACCCAGCAGTCAAGGATATCCATCCTTCTAACCGCTGGAATATAGATAAGACTGGTATAATAGAGGGCAAGGGAGTTAATAGGCTGGTGCTGGGCTCTGCGGCATCGCGGCAGATACAAAAGAAACAGCCAGGATCCCTTCGATGGCTAACCATAATCGAATGCATTAATGCAACTAGGACCTCCTTGGATCCCCTGGTTATATATAAGGGAAAATCCCTACAGGCCCAGTGGTTCCCAGACAACAACCATTATCAATATGCCCAGTGGCAGTTTTAGGCATCAGAAAACGGCTGGACGAACGACGAGACTGCCCTGGCGTGGCTGAAGGAGGTCTTTATCCCAAGGACCATACCTAGCAAACCAGAGGCATCTAGACTGCCAGTTCTAGATAGACATCACAGCCATCTAACCGATGCCTTTATGTGGGAATGCTTTATCCATAATATCTATTATTATATCTACCGCCGCACTCGTCTGCTGTCCTTCAGCCTCTAGATGTGGCTGTCTTCGGCCCATTGAAGCTGGCCTATCGTAAGGCAGTTGGATCTCTTGATGACTGGATAAGTGATTCAACTATTGCTGGAAAAAAGGCATTTCTAGACTGTTATTTCCAGGCCCACGAAGCATCTATCGCAACTAAGAACATCAGAAGTGGCTGGAAATGGGCTGGGTTATGGCTAGTCTCTATACGTCGCCCTCTATCCAACTCTATGGTATCTACAGCATCACCCAGCCAGCAGACCAGCCAGCAAGCTGATCAAATAAGCAGCCAACAGTGGGATAAAGCCTTATCTATCGTCCCATGGTTAACCCCTCGTCGGTCTGCCGATCTACGGCATCAACTACACCAGTTAACTGAGCTGGCCAAAGATAGGTTAGATACCTATACTATTTGTCACCTATCTAGAAAGGTACAAAATGGATATGATGAGGAGGCATTCCAACGGACCCTTCTAGAGAAGGAAAACAAGGCACTCAAAGCCCAGCTGGATGACTATTACAGTATCAGGGTGGGAAACGGACGCATAAACTAATTCATAGAAGTAAAGTCATATTCAAAGTCTCGCCGTTTTAGAAAAATGGAGCTTGGCTCTATCACACCGCCCTTGCCTTGAAGTAGCTGTCTATAGCATCACAGCCATTCCTTGAGTATTCTTTCCCGCTCCCAGCTTTGAGAGATCAAAATGCTGAACCTGCTTTTTTTCAACTGCATCAACCACGGTGATGGCCGCATTTGTCGTGCCATTGCCAGGGCTTAGTGCGTAGACAAACCTCCCAGCAGCTTTCAGATCAGTCAATCCAGGATCTCCGTTCTTGCTAAGATCCAAAACCCCCTTTATGCTTGCATCATTCACAGACATCTCAACTAATCTATTTGTCCCGACGTCTGTAACGAACGCGGTGTTTGTTGCTGGGGAAACGGTAGCCCAGCAAGTCGCTTTCTGGCCGTCTACCGCTCCTTTTCCCTTGACAGCAGCATTGTTCTTGGCGTCGAGTGATAGTACGGCAGCGCCAAACGAAGCATCTGTGACGAACAAGTCCTTGCTACCAGGGATAGTGGACGAACCGAAGAGAACCGCAGTACCTTGGGGCGACGAGCGCGCATCTTGTTGGCTGACAGATTTGGCACCTTTATTAGCCTGAACCTGGTAGGAAGCGAGAAATCCAGTATTGTTCTTGGTTGGGTCTCCTTTAACGGTTGCAAAGAGAGTTCTCTCATCGTTGGAGAAGAATGCTTGGGAAATCGTGTTGGTTGGCCCAGCTGGCGGAGTGGTCTGCTTCAAGTCGATGGGGCGGAGCTCATCCATGGCACTGATGCCAGCTCCAGAAAAACTGGCACAAGAAATGCCCGCCACGGCACCGGATGATCCGACGCAGACAATTCTGTTCTTGTTGGATGCAGCAACCGTGTTGGGGAACTCGGCCGGAACTGCAACAGGTTTGCCCACCATTGTGAGTTTGGTCGGGTCGGCCTTATCAATTGCAAACATGGTCAGAGTGTTGGACCCTGCATTGACAGCGAACAGGTTCTGGAGTTTTGGGCGTTGGTTAGTCCAAGAGGTCTAATATGGATGGATCTAATCGGAGTGCTTACATTGCCTGCAACAGTTAGAGCCGACTGAGACGCAAGAGCATCCGGCGCCGCTGGCCCGTTATTTGCGCCGTCGAAGAAGTTTGAACCGGCACCGCCAGTCTTGACTGAAGTTCCTCCACTCAAAAGTCCGTTAGGAGAAATTGGTACTGCGACTACAGCGTTGGATGCGTCATTGGTGATTGTGTAAATTGCCTTGCCAACTTTCTGGGCGTTCTTGCACTTGACCGGTGTCGCTGTGATGGCGTTGGGCCATGAGGCAAAGATCAAAATCGCTACGGAGAAACGCATTCTTGTCTTGTTGTACACAATAAGGAGAGAGAAATAAGGTTGTGGAAAAATCTGAAGAGATGAACGATTGGAAGGATTCGATGAAATGAGGAAGAAAGTAATCACAATTTATAAGAAGCAGCCTGCTACTTGAATGAGAAAGAAGGAAGTGGATGTGAAAAGCAACTCTCATTAATTTAGCAGGTTCATCTGGAGTAATTATATAGGTCTCCTATAGCGTAACAGTTCGATATTCTATGAAGCATCTTCAACTAGCGCGTTAAGTCTCGTAGATCAGTGTAATCATAATTACCGCTTTGGGATGATTGATTCCTGGCGTTAAATTATGGGGCGGTGGAGCGCTGAAGTTCCAAAATACTACCGTAGATACTCGCGAGGTTGAGAAAATGCTAATGGGCAAGGGGTATGACAGCCGCTTTGACGGCCGCTGTAAGGGGTATAGTCTGCTGGCAGAAACAGGGATCTAGATGGGTTGGATAGGTTGGAAGGGATGTCTGGCTGGCTGGCAAGAAGGTGGGTGGGGTCGGCTAGTTGACCGCTTCCTATTTGGAGTTGAGCGCGGCTGATGTACGCTAGCTGGACTCAGCTAGCGTACTACGTCTTACAGTTAGTCTTCTAATTAGCGCTTTCTCAATCTCGCGAGTATCTGCGGGTATTACGGAAACCTACGGAGTACACCGACAGGGCTTGGGTTGTAGTGGAGGAGTTTCTGACAGGTTTCAGGCTTTAAAGGTGTGGAGATGCTCCACTACACTGTCTGAGCTAGCTAAAAGAGGATATTTTGATAATGTCATCAGCTCATCGCGCCAAATGAAACGATGATCGCCACGTTGCGCGACAGGAATGTTAAAACTTCACCCTGTCCGCGGCTTCGACCAATCTTCAACTCCCAGCTGGCAAACCTGCTTATTTTCGTATAGAGACTTTCGCGAAGAAAAGAGAAAGCACGGGACGGGGCAAAGACCAGCACCATCAGCAGAAACCTGGCTACAATGAGCCGTAATATATTTCGAATTTTCAATCCTGCAGGTAAGTCACAAGCCAGAAGCAAACAAACAATCACTTTACCAACCTCGAGCTGCGCTAAGACCTATCCGCTGTAGGCGAAAAAGAGGACCCAGTTGATAGACGTCGCAAACAGCTAAGGAATGCTCAACGGTGGGTTTATAGAAGTTTCTGTAACCGACCAATCTTTGCTGAATTGCAAACAGGACATACCGTGACCGCAGAGACAGGTATACTAGAAGTCTAGAAAAAGAGCTTGCTCAGGCCAGGGCAAGTGAAAATAAGCTCGGAATTCGATGCGACCAACTTTCTGCCACCGTTGAAACACTCACCGAGTGGCTGGCTCAATGTGGAGTCGCAATACCGCCCGGTATTATGGAGAATAATGCCGAGGACGAAACTATAGCAAAATACCGAAACGCAAAAGACGCAACAGTCCAGGACTTTACGTATCTGTCACCGACAACAGATACGGACATGTCCAGCCCGGGGCATGCGCGTGGCAAAGTTATTGCCAGTCCAATAAACGGACCGTCGACAGTTTGTTCAGCATCTTCTACCCCGAACATTACCAGCGTGGACAAATCGACAACCCCAGACCCGCATTCATTTACTCAGAAAAATCATCTTCCAAAGAGACTGGGGCCTGATATCGATCAAGGTCTGATTGAATCCAACGTCTTCTGTAAGAGGATGTGCGACCTTGATCCGATCGTGGTCGGCATGGAATTCGTTCTAGCGTGAGTCATGGCCTTGAGAAGTCATGGAAATTGATTGAACGGCTAATGTTTGCATTATAGAATCGAAAGGCCTTGTCTGGAACATCTCCATGGCGATCCAAACAATCCTAGCGAGCCTACCGGCCACGCTCTCACCGCATCAGCGCAGCTGATATTCTCGTGTCATTACCCACAACATTCAACTTTGCCCGTTCTTCCTTCCTTTGAAAATGCTCCGTCTTGCTTGCTCCAACGGTTGCTGGAGCTTTCAACCGATTTGTGCTCCGACGGAGAGCTCACACCGACGCAAGCTTGGAACCTCATTCGAAATAGACCACAATTCGGCGCAATCGAAGTACAAAGACTCCATAAACTGGCTGAAAAGCTAAGAGCAGCGGTTAAATGTCATGGGTATGAGCAGCAGCCCCGAACACAGCATCTTCTTGCGTTTCGCTAAATCAGTCAATCAATCTAGGTTTGGAGCAGTCATCGAGTCGCGGGTTTTTGAACAATTGGTTTTCCAAGATCTGATGTTTGCACAAGACTTTTAGTACCGTGAACCTCTTATTTAATCCCAATATCATGGGCTATGATTGGAAATCAACTGAATACGGAGAGGTACTGATGTACGCAAGTTATGCCAAAACTTCACGGCATGAAGCCGGGTGTTGGGACCCTCAAGCTTTTTGAAAAGCTGCATCTAAAACTGGAACCAGGAATTGACAAGAGTGTTCTTGGATGATATTGTAAATATGAACTTGTCGCAAGTGAGCAATCCGAATCATCGCAGCAAAGTGTCGAAGATGAAGCGGTTTCACGCTTGTTACAGATGAGGAACTGTGCGCTTATGTATCATGCAAATGTACTGTCTGCTCAGCAAGACAACATCAAAGCCAAGGCGGAAGGTTAGATGGGGAAACAAAAATACTAGTATTCAAAGGGAGTGCTGCTGTGATTTTTGTCCCCTTCCACCTTGGCGCAAGCCCTTGCTCTTAACCGCAGATAAAAACAAGACTAGGAGCTATTCTTAATATTTTATATACTATAAAGGAATACCCTTACTTTCCTTAGGTACTACCTGAGTTACTGAGGAGGTAAATAAGGTTAGTAAATTAATTTTACTTCTACATATTTCATCTTTAACTGTCTACATATTTCATCTTTAACTGTCTGCTTAGGTGGTTAGCTGACACTGTATTACTGCTAATGGTAGAGTTTAGGGAATGCGTCAGGGTCTCTTTCTAGGGCTAGAGACGGACGGGAGCCGGTGCACAATATAAGCTGATGTCAGTATAGGAAACGCGTTGAGAAAGTCAAAGCCTAAAAGTGGACTGACGAAGAAATCTGACCAATAGTTGTACAAGGATTCTGTTTCTCGGCACATTCCGTGCCTGTATACTCGCGTAGAGCGTCGTTCTCGTGTCCGGGGGGGAGACGCTCCTTCAAGGGTCCGCCAGCCCGCTGTTCCTGGACCTCTGGGCCTCGGGCTACCAGGTGCGCCCCAACGGCTTTGCGGGCAGTCGGTCCGGCTTCATCGACCCGAAGCCCAGCAAGCCGGGGTCGCTCCTCGACGCGTCTGGCAAGTACTTTCACCGCGAGAAGCCCCAGTACCCCGGGACCAGGCCCCTCGTGGCCACGGATCTCGGTGTGTTCAACGACGGGACGGGAGACCAGACGGCCGCCATCAACAGGCTTCTCGCGAACAATGTCGGCTCCATCATCTTCTTCCCCGCCGGTGTCTACATCGTCAGGGGTACCGTTGAGATCCCTCCCGGCTCCAGGATCGTCGGGTCCAGTTGGAGCACCGTCATGGGTGCCGGATCGTATTTCGGGGACGAAAAGGATCCCAAGGTCATGATTCGGGTTGGCAAGCCCGGCGACCGGGGAAGCATGGAGATATCCGACATGTTTTTCACCGTCAGAGGCAACACTGCGGGGTGCATCCTCATGGAGTGGAACATCCACGAGTCGGGCCAGGGGTCGGCGGCCATGTGGGATAGCCATTTCCGAGTGGGCGGGAACGCCGGGTCAGACCTCCTCCTGGACGACTGCCCCGCAAGGTCGGAGAGGGTCGACAGGGGATGTATGGCTGCCGCAAAGCTGCTTCACCTGGCTGCCCAGTCCTCGGCCTATTTCGACAACGTGTGGGTGTGGGTCGCGGACCACGACCTTGACGATCCCGCCAACGCCAATGCGCACGTGGGCGAGGGCGGGATTCCGCAGAACAGCATGGTCGAGATCTCCGTCTATGCTGGCCGCGGCGTCCTGATCGAGTCGCAGGGTCCGACTTGGATATGGGGATGCGGCAGCGAGCACGCGCAGCTGTATCAGTGGCAGGTTGAAAGGGCTAAAGACCTCATCATGGGGCACGTCCAGACGGAAACGCCGTACTACCAGTCGAGCCCCAACGCGCTCAACCCGTACACCGCCGGGGCGTGGGAGGGAGACCCAGAGTTTCAAGACTGCGGCGACGACAAGCTGTGCCTCAAGGCATGGGCCCTGCGGGTGGTCAACTCGACAGACATCTTCCCGTACGGGCTGGGGTTCTACTCCTTCTTTGACGACTTCGAGCTCGGGTGTGCCCCGAGGGAGCGGTGCCAGCAGTCGCTGATTGAGACAGCGAGGGCCGGCAGGGTGTGGCTGTACAACATCTTCACGAAGGGCAACGCCGAGATAGTGTCACCGCAGGGAAACCTACAGCCGTTGTGGTTCAACGACACAACGAGGAACGGCTACACCAGCAACGTGGCTGCCTGGCTGCCCCTGGCACTGCGAGACGGTTCAGGCTCTGGCGAAGACGGCGGCGGCGGCGGCGATGACGAGGATGGCGAAGAAGGCCCAGTCGTCTACATTGACCCGACGATCTGGTCGACATCGTCTGGTGGTGGTGGCGGCGGCGGCGGTGGCGGCAGCACCAGTACTCGGACGATCCAATGCAGCAACCCTTGCATGTACGTCCTCCCTCCGTGGCAGCTGGACCGGCCGACAACGATCAAGCTGCCCAGGGTCGAGACGACCCTCGAGGTCGGATGGTTCGAGACGGAGCGCTATACCGGCGACAACGGGGCGACCAGCACGACGCGGGTCTACGTGACGATCAAGACGACGACAACGATCACGTTCTCGGCCATCACGACGACGAGAATCGACTTTTGGAACGAGGTCGTCAACGTCACCTCGACGACCATCACGCCCACAAGCAGCGTGCCCGTGCCGCCGATTACCCTGACGGATCACCCGTTGACGAGCTGGACGGGAAGCGAGTCGCAGCCAATCATCACAAGAACCATCACGCCGCCGCCTTGGCCGTGGCCAGAGGACGACATCGACGACGACGACTGGAAGGACGACGACGACGACGACGACGACGACGACGACGACGATGATGATGATGCTGTTATTATCCCGCCCATCGTTCACATCAGGGGGCCTCCGAAACCCACCTGCCGGTCTGGTTGTGGTACAAAATGCCGCATATTTTGCAACTTGCCGTGCCTTTTACACTGCCCCCCGTCCAACATGCCTGGTGTCTAGGGAGACAGTACGTGACCTCTGTTTGTTTCTTGCGAGTAGCTAAATCGCAACCTTACAACCACCTCCGTTTACTTGATGACTCTTTGTAACTAACAAGCTTTCGATAGACCTTCCCGCCCCAAATAACCCGAACCAGCCCCGGCCGGGCAACAACGACGATGGCTGTGCCACGTCGACTTTCAGCTCGTGTCGCGAGCACTGCGTCCAGGCGACGCCGACGCCGGCCTGCACCACCAGCTGCAGCCGCGTCATCGGCTGCGACACCACGGGGACGACGGTGGCGTCGGGCGTCACACCGGCGCCTGCATCCGGTCGCGAGTGGCCAGTCGAGCCCGAGGACGCAGAAGACTCGCGACGAGAGCTGCGGGATGCCGTCCAGGCAGTGCTTCGACACTTGTTGAATCTGGGGCTCTATGACGAGGATGACAGTGAGTACTTTCTCCTTCTATCTTCTTGACATCGTGTCTTCTCTCAAACCCGATCCTTATACTCATCAACCGCCGTACAGTAACCCCCCGAGGACAACATCCGGGCCACCGACGACGACTAGACCACGACCACCCACCACCACCACCACCACAAAGCCATTGGGCAACCCTACGCCCACGGGCGTCTTGCACATTGCCTACGCCCGCGTTGATGACGACATGTAAGTCAAAGCACCCACTTATGGCCCCCCCACCTATATAGCCTGCCTTTTCCTACTAAAAACAGCCAAAAACAGCTATCTATATCTTAGTAACTACAAGACCTATTACTTTAGTTTTTTCTATATAGAGTCTATAAGTACTTCTTAGCCTATATATTTAAAAATCTTTTTAATTATTCAATAAATAGCTTTAAAATACTATTATAAAGTTCTCTTATAGTAAGTTTAATAGTAAAAAATATAGCTAATATAAAGAAGAATAAAATAAGTAAAAATATTACTTAATTATCTTAAGTACTAAAAATCTAGAATACCTAAAGCTTTATTTTTTAAGTATTTTTTTAACTATAAATATAGTATAATAGTATTTTACTAAGAAATTTTAACTACTATAACTTAAAATTATTAATATAATATTAGTTTTTTATAATTTAGCTCTATAGTCCTTATTATAAGAGTATAAAAGATATAAATAGTATAAAAATTCTTAGTATACTATTTTTAGCCTATAAGTTATAAAGTTATTTAAGCTTTTAAAAAGTTAAGATTTACTAGTAAAATACTAGTAAACCTTAATAGCTAGGTACTTAGTCTTATTACTAGAGATTTACTAAAAGAAGTTAGTTAAAACTTTTTTTATAGCTTCTTATATATACTATCTACTTTATATAGAAGTTATAGAGCTTTTTATCTTTTATTAGTGTAGATATAGATAGCTGTTTTTAGCTGTTTTTAGTGAGAAAAGGCGGGCTATATAGGTAGGGGGGCCATAAGTAGGTGCTTTGACTTACTTCGAAGGATGGCGGTATTTCTGGCTCTGGTACGCCCAAGGAGTCAACGCCCCCATTCGCGTCTGTAGTCCGGACGCCTCCTCCACACCGTCGTCAGGTACCAACATTGAGAAGCCCGGATACCCCGGCGGGCGCAGCGTCACCATCTCGGGCCAGTCCGGATGCCGGTATGAGGGGTCCAATAGCGGCCCCGGCCAGCTTACGTGTTCCGGGTGGAGCAGCGCGGTCGAGTGTGAAGACGATACCGGAAGCATCAGCCCTCCGTCGTTGTGTTTCGCCCCTGACTTTACCAAGACTACAACGATTATTCCGAGATGGATGGTCGTTTGCCAGTATGGCCGCAACGGGAACTCGCGGATGGCACGGCTGAGCAAGGAGGAGCTGGCGAAGAATTTGCCAGAGGAGGCGACACTGGAGGACTTGGTGGAAGTGGATGAGAGTTTTGCCACTATGACTCTACCACTAAGACAGGAGTCATCAATGTCGGAGGCGTCCAGTCTGACAGTATTATAATATTAGTATTCTAGAGTAATAGGACTAACCTATTTACTCTAGAAATAAGTAATATTACTCTTCCCTTATACTTTCCCTTAAAAGCAAGTAACTTGTTTTGTTTCCTGAATACTCACCTGTGTTAACAACTAATCTCGTGAGATCTCTCAATGGCTTCAGCGCGGTCGCATGAGTCACGCTGCCGCTGGCTCTATCCAAGTGGCCGCATTTAATCCCTGGAACAGGAAGGTTGCTTCAGTTAAACATTGTCTAGACCCTCTAAATCGCATCCTCTAGCTTTAAAAATATTATTTCTATGTCTTACTAGCCTAGGCTATAGAACCTTAGTTGTACTACCCCTAGGCCTAACGTGTATTATTTTTAACTTGCTTATCTTTAAGCTTCCTAAAAGTTAGCATATTATAGCTGTAGAAATCTAGATTTATTCTACCTGTCCTTTAGACACTTATTTAATTAGTAAAGCTTACTATATGGCTTCTGGCTAGTTTAATACGTTTTATGAAGTATTTTACTTTCCTTGTCCTTACGAAGAGCCTATGAAAATAGAAGGGGCTGATATTGCTAAAAGGCACTTAGGGGCTATAGTAGAAATGCAGACTCTCTGGCAATAGTAACTCTTTTACGTTCTTACAAAAAGTCTTCTCTCTACTATGTTTGAATCTGCATCGTCAGTTTGGCCTCCCGCATGATGCTTCTACTTTGTCTTAGGAAGCAACAAGTGAGACCCTAAAGGCTATCCCAGTTTGTAGGAGGCATCGCCAACCGTCGCCAATAACAGTGCTTATTGACGTCAGCAGAGCCTGCGGTAATTGTGTACAGTGCGTTTGAGAGTGCTGCTAACAGCGAATGGCTAGGGAATCTCGGTAGTAATCGTCAAAGAAGCAACATGGCATAGCAGTCATATGTGTTTGTTTGCTGCAGATATCCATCCCATTTTGACATAGCTTGGTGACATGCCAGTCAGCGTGCGTCCGCTAAGCGCCAAGCGCCAGGCGCTGACGTAAGGCCTGTCAGCGGGTCGGCAATTATGTAAGCAGCTCATGGGAAAGTGTCTTGCAGCCATGGGTGCCAGCACGGAATAACACTCTGCCGCGTCACGTGATCCTCTATTCACCACTTCTCATCATCCTCACGTTCGTCTTCGATCGCATCCACATCCCTCCCGTTTCGCCCTCGACTTCCGCGCGCGTTCTCGTCGGACAGACCTGCCCAAGGGGTCTCGATCGTTCACTTGCTCCCGATGCTGAACCGACTTGTCGTGCGAGTAGGACTGGGAACCCGTCGGAACCGTTCCAGAGCGGATCTGTCACCCGTCGCCCCGGTCATTCTACTACTCGCACAAGAGCCCTCGATGCACCTCGAGTAGGGTCGGGATCTCGCTGGACGCGTCTTGACCACGATAAAACCGTGCGAAGGAGTTGCTGTAACAAGGCGAAAAGCACAGCGCCATCATAGAGGTAAGTGTTGACTCCAACCCCCACCCCTCCCCCCCTCTCCCCTCCTGGTTCCCGTCCGCTAGGTTCTCTACGTGCAAGTCTAGAAGGACGGTTGAACGGAGGCGAATATAACATGCCGTCCAATAAGCCAGACTTTGTTGCTCCCAGGGTCGTGGCTGTGCGTGAAGATGAAGAACGACTGCCCAAAGACACTTCTCCGCAGTTCGAACTCCGCGTCCGATGCTCGCGGCAAAAATTGGTCCTCTTCAGCCTCGTTGCCTCCTTTGCCCACGGCGCGTCGGCCAAAACCACGGTCTACCTGCAAATTACCGCCGACTCTCTCGACTCGTTGGATCGAACGGATTATAACGAGGCCGATGTCAATACCGCGAACCCCCCTTGCCCAGAAAATATCCATCAGCAACTGGGCATGCGCTCCGTCACCCGCCTTCAGTTCCGGCTGCGCAGTGGCGAGGCTATCCAGCTTGTTGTACCATCGGATTTCACTCCAGAACAGATCCCTGACGACATGGCCCAGTCCGCGTTCGAGTTCGCGGAATCGCTTGCGGCCGCCTCGCGGTTCTCACTATACTTTCAGCACAACATCTTGAAGAAGGAGAGCTTCTTCAAGTACAAAGCAGCCATTCCGCCGTCCACGTCTCTGACGGACGACCTGAGGAAGTCGTACAGGGGCATGCGAGATGTGAGGAGGCTCTACAATGGTGTCGGCGGCAAGGTACACGCACCGCGTGGCGTTTGTCATGCTTCTCCACCCGCGAGGGAACGCTGCAGTTCTCCCGCTGCGGCCACTGCTTCTTCGTGCGGTAGCACCCTTCCCTTCGAGACTATTCCGCGTCTCCAAGAAGAGTCGCCGCCGCCGTATGACGAATGTCTGAGTGGGAAGCATTCGCCGGGGATCAGGTCAGACAGCCCGCCCTCTCCTTCCAAAAGTCCCGGTAGCGACCATGCCCCGCCGCGGTACGGCGACACCGAGCAGCGCTGCAATGTGCTGGATGCATCCCAGGACGTCCTCCCCAGCGGAGGGAAAGATGGCGCTACATGCACGCCTACCAAAAGAAAACGTTCATTTACCGCTGGATGCTCGACAGCGACCACCACAAAAGGCGCCCCTCGGCTGGACAAAATACAGCGATCGCTTTTTGTGGATGCGGTGGTGGAGAAGAGCGATATAGCCCAGATACTTGAACTACAACGCGAACAAATCGAGCTGCAACGCCAACAAATCCAACAACTGCAAAAGAACGTCGAGGAATTGCAGAGGTGGAATAGGGAGCTCAAGATGCGGCAGGATGAGTTAGAAGAAGACTGTTCCAGGTTGGAAAAGCGTCTGGACCGGACTGACGACACCATCGACAATCTGTCGATTGACGTAACCGAGCTGGAGGACAAATGCGACGAGCTCGGAAAACAAATGCCCGACGTGGGTGACGAGCTGAAGGATTGGAAGGAAAACATGGGAGACGCGTTCAAGGAAGACATTTGCCAATCCATCGAGGAGAGCATGGCGAAACAAATAGCCGAGTGTGTCGAAGCTCAAGCCGATGACATGCGAAGGAGGGTTCGCGAAGCCCTGCGATAGGGCATGAACCAACGACGAGATCAAGATCAAGCAAAGCAGGACTGAAAGTGGAAATGTTCTCTATTGTTACCTTGTTATCGACCCTCTTCTACTTGGAGCTCACGACGCGTCCGGTGGAGGAGCCGTGGTCTCGGCGCTCAGTTGCGTTTGTCGCGCAAAAACCGGCATCCGGGGGGTCGGAATATCGGCTGGCTTCCCTTCCGCCACACGGGTCAAGACTTAAGATGGATGCACCTGCGCATCGTTGTCCCATTTGTGACCCATCCTCGCCAATGCGACTCTGACAGGCCGCACCGCCAGCAGTCATCTCAAGCACTGGCAACAACTACTTACTGTACACGGCCACCTTCGGCGTAACGACGGAGGGGGACTTGCACAGACTGCCTCGTGCGCGTGCTCGCACCGACCTCGAGATGTCTCCAGGCTGTTTGGCGAGCAGGCCTTGAGCACCGACGTAGTGGCACTCGGCGCGACGTGGTGACTGACGTGCCAGCCATGATGACTCTACTGTGCTGGGGATGACCGAGATGCCGCCGCGCTCTGAGCTGTGGACGTGCCAGACGAAACGCATACAACTTCAGTCCAGGCTCTCTCGTCGCCTTACTGCTGTGAACAGCCCCGCCATGTGAAGAAGAAGACGGCCAAAGTCGGGCTTTTTTGTCTCTACCTCCGATATCAATCAACCTTGGACGTCTTCTGTCCTTGGAGATGTCATAAAAAGTCTAAGTAGATGTCTCAGCTACGAACCACTCTGCGAAGCATAGGCTGCACAGATGATTGCGGGAGGAAGTAGCTTACCGTCATTGAAATCCCACCGTGCACCGGGACTTACTCCGATTCGGACTCCTGGCGAGATGCCGCAAGCATTGATGACGGCGGGGTCGCTGGCCGCGGCGAAGCACGATTCTTCGAACTCGTCGCCGCCGAGGAAAGGTTTGGGGACGACGGGCCATCCGAGGGTGCCGTAGCACTCCTGTTTCTTGAAGTTCATATTGGAGATTGTCTTCGCGTTCGGGTCGCCGTAGTGTACGCCAAAGAACTTGTCCTGCGGGTATTTCGCGCACGCGGCCTGTGTCAGGCAGAGGTCGTGGTCGTTGACTTGGTCGCTTTACTCGCCACTGCTAAGTTATCCATAGATTGTCAAATCTTCCTTTAAGCCGCTTACAAGAACAATCAATACATTTAATCAGACATATTAAGCAGAGATGATTATTAAGTAATATAAACCTCTCCTCGCGTGGGACTATGTATTGCTAAGCTGATATCCCTACGTAGTTAGTGACTGTCGTAGGCCACGGCTGTGTTCCCAAACTCTTAAGCACCTTGACAACGGTGATGATGTACAGCAGTGCAGGGCAACACACAAACTCATTGATTACTACCGACAAAAACCACAGACTAATCGCTTTTGTGACCAACAAGCCCCGCAACTTAGCCTACAACCGAAGTTCTTGTCAACCATAAAAAGGCTCTTAGGTCACAGCTTGCCTAACGCTCGATATACCTTGATCCTATTTCCAAGCGAAAGCCAAGTCGAAAAGATGCCTAAGAAGAAGAATTCCCACCAGGCTTGGAACACGATCCTGGAGGGCAAGAACTTCCTACTTGACTCCCTTGAGTTAGATGGCGCAAACGCTATTTTGGTTTCACAAGACCTACAAGCCATCGCCGACGGTTCTATTGACAAAGATGTTGACGTCATGCTCGTCATTCTTGAATGGGAAGGGGACCACAGCTATAATAGAATGTTCCCCGCATACCTTCGACCTCACATATGGAATCCCGATAGGTGCAGAGCAACCATTCAACACACTACTGGAGATAAGAAGGTGATCAACATTGTCGTGAATATCTGGCAGGCGGAGCATAATCAAGACCACACACTAGTCGAGAACCTCTAGCTAAACTATGCATAAAGAAGGCCTCTAATATGTGAATGACATATGTGGCGTACGGAATTAACAAAGAGCAACGGTTATACAACAAAATATATTGGAAGACTGAGAAGACGGTGGAAATCCACGGTAAAGGTGACGGATTTCAGCTACAGTGCAGTAAATATATGTTTAACAACGAAGCAGTGAGTTGGGTGTTTGTAGATTCAACGGGAGTCAAAGTAAGAGCAAACAGCAGTAGGAGAATAGGGTTGAAAGGTACTTTTTCCTAGGAAAATATTGATAGGAAATAGAACTGCTGTATATACACGAGTAATCAGTGAAAAACGCAGTGAATGGCACGTGACAAGCCTTCTGACATGAGCTTCTATATACAAGGTTCTCGAGACATAGTTTTCTCCTTGGGGAGTCAAAACTCAGCTGAAGGTTAAAAGTGACGATCGCTAGAAGCTAACAACCTTTAAAAAACGAGACTCCAGATGATGGCAGAACACCTGCCAGAAGAACAGCGTAATAGACAATGAACTAGTTCCTGTGGGGGGGGAGCTGCGGGCTAGGGGATCCTTTGGGGTACTGATCTTGTGTTGCAAAGTTTCGGCCCGCCGAGAAACCCGCTGCGAAGAAGGAGTGATGATAGTCACTCCGTCATGGCATGACTCTGCTGCTGGGCGTAATATACTGTATGTGTGTGTGTGTGTGTACGTCTTTGGAAATTGCTGGGATCACCTCTCTTCTCTTAAACTGATAAGTCTCGTGGCCAAGGACATGCCACATCGTTGACAAGGCAAACTCGGCAAGGGCCCCATGTTGACGCAGCCTTTCTCAAGTCCTCTAGTCTCAGGTGGTCCAGGGATGCCATTATCGCAGCTTTCTTGGCTGCTAGTCCCACTGGCGCCCATCTTCTGCCAATTATACCACTTCAGCCCACCTCAATTTTCAATTTCACAGATTTGTATTTAGGGTACTTAAAATCTTTGATACATGCTTTGGGGGAAGTTGATCCTGACGGAAACATGACCTTGACGGAACCAGGGGAGTCTAAAGTTATTTCAGGACATTCGACGCAAGCGGTATCTTCGCTAGCCGGCTCAGAGTCTCCGGGAACCAGGACTACACCCGAGCCAGCGTTAAGAGGAAAAAACTGGGGATACATGGGGTTAGGGAACGCCTACCAAGGGAAAACCTGAGGATATATGAGGCAAACTGACTGTCCACAAAAAATCCAAAAAGAGAAGACCAACCCAACTTCCGCTTTGATGTTAGTCTGCTGACTTGAGTTTATTGATCCATGAAGCTATTCCCGGCGTGTATAAAAGCATACAGGAGGCAGGCTTCCGACGAATAGAAACATGGTCCTTATTACTAAAGGTCAGTAGGCGGAGAATTGGATGCCGTCTATAGGATGTCCCAGTTCGTCAAGTGTGCAAAGAGTTGGATGTCGTAGCAACGCAGAACACGATTCTCGGTGGCTACTGCTGTCTGTTCCTAGAAGACTGTTTTAAAAGGGCCCTCAAGCGTCCATCACTCTCGTATCGTTTCAACGCTGCCTTCCGCCAATCATCCCAGACTTGATTGGCTCCGAAAATCCGAAGGATGGCATTTGCTAATGGCAACGCGTATTCCCACTTGGACTCGTGCCCCAAGCCCCAAAAGAACCTTCTCGCCTTCTCATCTACCATATGCTCTGGTAGCACAACCCTCTTCTCAATCATTGCATTGCTTAGTTCAATGTCTTTTGCGCTCAGTGAAACGTTACCAGTACAAAGAGCTCCCATATCAGCAGATATGAGGGACAGCGCAAAGGCCTCCCGCCGCGGAACAACGCGTGCCATTTGCCAGTCGATGATGCCAGTGATGTTAAGGTCTTCATCAACCATCAGATGATCACCCTTGTCATCAACATGTTTCAGAAAGAAGTCGTTCTCAGCATCAGACAACTGTGATGCACTATCTTGGAGGAACCGATGTACTAAATACGCTTCGATAGGGAACTGCGTATAGAGCTGACCATCCACAATCAGCGTAAGATATTGCTCAGCCCAGGCAATATAGTATGCTGCCGCAGTACTAAATGGCCCGTAGGGGTAGAGACAGACAAATCTGTCGCTAGCTGCAGCAGAGACAGTTGGTTTGTCGTTAGGATACTGAACGTATAGGGAACCCGCTTTAGTAAATGGATGCTTCTCTAATTCCGCAAAGATCTCGGCAAGACCCTGCCAGATCTTAGCGGTGTTCTCTCGACCATTCCACGGCTTGCCTGGCAACTCCTCCATTAGAAGGAAACAGACCCCAATACCCTGATCAGTACACTCAGATGGGATTCCGAATGAGAAGGCCCGTGGCGCTGGTACTTTGGTTGTCTCCAGAAACTTGAGAGTCGCATACTCGCTGCGGATCAGGTATTCTGCGAGAGGAACGGGGAGCCCAACATCAAAGCCTGTGACCCGCGGCACTCGCATAAGCCAGGGCGGAGACCCATCGCTGAAGCGGATGCGGGCATGATAGTTGGCACGCCCTGTGAGAGCATCTGGTCCAACAGCCTTCAAAGGGTATTCGATAGCACAAGGTTTGCCTTCGTTGAGGCTGGAGGCGAGTTTGCATACGGCCTTCTCATTAATCTGGGCACGAAGGCGGCCTATTTCA